CTCGACCGAGACATTGTTAAGACTGAACTGTGTAGAAAATTTCATCACGATCCGACTCTCCTTTCGAAAGTTATCGGATAAACGGACGGACGGACACACTGACCGATTTTAGTAGTGTACTCACTTTTTGAGTACACAAAAAGAAAATTCATTCATTTTAATTTACTTGATCTATTGTTTGAAATTGATGAGAATCTGGAATTAATTCAGCGAAAAGATCTTCATTAACAATTTCTGGTAGACATTGTTGTGGAGACATTTGTATACTATTGTTTGAAAAATTTTGATATTGATTATTCAATTGATTGCCCATTGAAGAAAAAGGTGTTAATTGTTGAAAATATTGTTGATTATATAGTTGCTGTTGTGATTGTTGATATTGCATTTGTAATGATGGTTGCTGATATGATGATTGCATTTGAAATGATGTTGGTAATGATTGTTGTAGATGTAGATTTTGATAACCTTGTTCTTGTGGTGTTGGCAATATTGTAGATGATATTTGAAGAACACCAAGTCGATGTAAAAGTTCTTGAATGATTTCAGGTTGAGAAAGAACATATTCAATCATATCTTGATTATTTATATGTTGAAATGATTGCTGAGAAGATGTTGAAAGAATATTTTGTACTGTCGTTTGATTAGTATTCGATTGAGTGTTAACCTTAGAAATGTCATCATAAATAGTAGTTACATTAGAACACTACAAGATATTGAGAGATATAATGGAAAAAAATAAATCAATGTCATACATATTCATTATTATATGTTGCTGCAGATGGTGGAGGAACTGAATCTGGAATGAAATATAGATTAATATCGATATGTTTATTCATTTTTGTTTTTCATCTTACGTAGATTTTCTGGAAACATTTCACATAAATTTGAATTTGGACTTTTAATACCTTGATGATTGTCATCATCATCATCATCATCTCCATCCTCAACACTAATATGAAACAAATGAAAATTATTATTAGAGATTAAATGTTTTCCTTTTCTTTTTTTTTTTTACTTATTAAGAATATTAGTGATGAGTTTATAATCTTCATTAATTTGATAAATTTTAGTTAATCGTTCACCTAAGTTTATTTATTGAATAATAAGTATTAATTATTCGATCTATATCTTTATACTTACTATAATATTTATCAAAGTCTTTAAATGATTTATAATTTTTCACGTTTATTGAATCGTTGAGATTCGATAAAATTCGTATATGATTACCATTTTCTGTATAAGCAGTAGTTACAAATTTCCTTATGTCAAGGGCAAGTATCGAAGAATTAAATGTACGATATTGCAATTTCTTTGTACGATCTAAAAGACAAAAATATATTGATGAAAAACAAAATAATTTAAACAACAAACCATTATAAATATCCACACGAACAGCACATGAAGTTGCTTTGATTGATTTAGATGCAGATACTGTTGATGCAATAGCTTTATAATCAACTTTAATAGAATTCAAACGAATACCAACTATTGGTGAATCAATATCAGTTAATTTTCTCATAATTTCAGCTGCTCGTGCACTATTACAAATACCAAGACAAAGACTATTATAGAAAATATAAAATTAAATGATACATTAAAATATTAGTTGAAAAATTTTACCCATCAGCATAAAACATAGCAAGAATTGGATGTTTAGCAATAAATTCTACTTGATTAACAAATGGTACAAGAAAATCCTATTACAAAAAAAGACATACCGTTACATTAGAAATTATTAAAAGAACTCATTTAATTTATAACCAATATTCTTTATTCGATAGGAATTTTTTTATGTTTAAGTGTGATGATTTATTTTTATATGTCATTTTATGCCATAATATTGAATAATTCTTTTATAAACAAAGCTTAATACAAAATTACATGCAAAAAAAGAAACAAAGAGAGTTGTAATGGTGAAAGATATAAAAATTGACGTATTTTTAATTTGTTTTCTACGGTAACAAACATTTAACAAACTTCGAAAATGTAATTACAATAGTCAATGAAGTTCTCTATCAAAAGCGTTCTAGACAGAAATTCTATAGATAATGGACTATGAGAAAAAGATTTCGGAAATACAAAATACGGATATTTTCAAGTGTCAGAAGACAAATCAAAAATTTGATTTTAAAACAAAGTCCCTGAATAAATTGAGAAGTTGTTCCATTTTCTACAACCTTTCATTGAAAAGTTATGAACATCACAAAAGCAAAATTTGTCATAATATTGCTTGAAAACGAATTTTATAGTACTCATATCGCGTTAAGAAAATGTTGTAATAAATGCGACAATCTTCTATTTTATTCAGAAATAGTCAATCTATGAAAGTTCGGTATGGAATGCATTTGATAGAAAATTATGTTGGCTATTCAAACCACTTTTTGGATTTGCCTTGAATACTTAGTATCGTAGCAAAAAAAAAACCAAACATACGTTGGTCTTATATTTTTAACCAGTACTGTATATATTAACTTAATAAATTTTTTTTGCAAATTACAAATCTACTTTTCTATCCTAAGTGCTGCATAACGGTAAATTTAATAGTTCGATATCTTCCTTACAATCAAGACTAGCTGTAGCGTTAGATAATCTAGCCATTCAAACATGACGACTAATTGATTTGATAGACTCTATTGAAACTAGAAAAAGAATTCATATCAATGAGTTTTTTAATTTTTGAGTTATAATTGTTTTAGTAATTTTTTAAACAAAAGTGTTATGATCTGATTCTGATTAACTTCAAAAGAGACTTTCAAGTTTTAACTTTGTAACAAAATTTTTAATATTTGAAAAGTCAGATACTTTGAATGATAAACTCAATATTGATTGAAAGTAAAAATGTCGAAAAAAAAAAAAAAACTTCATAAAAAAATAAAAAGTAAAATTCTAAAGATAAGACTGTTTTGAAAGATATTATTATTACACAATCAATATCGACTTATGAGTACGGATATGTGACTGATGAAAAGACACACTTACATCCTTAATGCAAATTTATCCTAGTCGGATAAATTCTCGTATATTTAAATCATCTCAATCTATGGAATTTGATCAATTTTATTAAAGCAGAAGAAAAATAATATTATACTTCAATGATCTTCTGATACATTGTTACAAAGTTGAATCAACACACATTATATAATCGATATAATAATTATCTCATTACAGCATCTGATCTCTTTAACAATTTCTCTGTTATGGTAACAAAAAAATCTTATGATTATATAATAAGAACATTAGTTAAGGTCAATAAATTAATATTTCAAAGCATTAATATAAATTTTAAATTTAATAAATAATTCATGAAAAAAATACAATAGTTGTTTCAATAAAATCACTAGCATAACTGAAGAAAGAAAAGAAAAACAAGAATCTATTGATATTGAATTCACTTGATGCCATAAATGAATTACAAAGTAATTCAGTTTTTTATTCAATTTGTATCAATAATTACGGTAGGATCTATCAGAGTCTACCAGAATGCAGATGAGCATAGACTTATATTCTTGTTAACAGTGTTAGACACGTATAGATCTTGATATATTCTTTAAATAAATCTCTTGTATAACATATAGAAATTTTGAATTACTTTATCATTTATTTGATTCATGTATTCAATAATGACTCATTTGAAAAGAATTTTATCTCTTGATCAGGTTTGTCTAATAAGTGTCATGTCAACTATTTTAATCTACCATTATGATAAGCAAAGTTCTGTTTATATCATGAATCTGTTTAATAATGAAAAATATGTTATTTGTAATGTGAAACACAAGAAGTACAGAAAAAGAAACTTTGAAATTTAATTTTATAAACGAAAAATGTATTATTATTATTATTATTAGGTTTTCTTTTTCTTTAACACATACCATAAAAATATCTTCCATTGTTTGAAAATTTTTTCTTTCATCTAGAACAGAAAAAAAGTTAATTTTAATTATTAATGAAAAACAAAATATCGAAAATAAGATTTAATTACTCTTTGCTTTGTTTAATTCTTGTTCAAGATAAATCTTAAGATATTGATCAGGTAGAACACCTGTTCGATGACAAAAATAACGTAATATAAAATTTGATACTGGTTGAATATCAGTCAATGAACGCTAGACAAGAATAATCAACACAATGACACAATTTTTCATACAAAAAGGCTTTGTTTTTTTTATAACCTGTGAAAATCGGCGAATATCACTTAATATGACTCTTGTTAACATATTTGGAATATGATTATTATGAGAAGTAATAGCAAATGTTAATGATTCGAATGGAACTTGATAATATTTTGAAAAATTATATTCACTTAGATTTAACTATATTATAGAAAATTAAAATCATTATTTATTTATTTGATAAATAATTTAAACCTACACGAATTTTAATCAGAAATTTAAGTGAATATAATTCATCACCTAAATGAATACGTGTATTTGCTTTTGTTGAACATTGAATATTAAGAAGTGATAATTCAGCGTAATATATAAATCGAGGTTTATCATTTGGATTTATTTGTAATCGACAAGTTTTCCATGAAATTGTTGAAGATTCAAGTTTATAAAGAGATGATGATGAACATAAACTTGGTTCTATATAGAAATATATTATAAGATTAAACTAATTTAAAATTATTGTCTTACCAATATCGCAAAGTTCAATTAATTTCGGATGTGTTTGAATAAAATCATATAATAATGAAACAATAATAACTGATACTTTAGCTGTACATTGACCAGATCCTTTACGTTCATAGACTAATACTGGATTTACACCGGAATTAGGATGAGTAATAATCATAAATGAACTAAAAAGTAATATTATATTAAATTGTTTTCATTTTTTTTTTTCATTGAATTATATTATTACGTAAGAAATATTTTTTCTAATTCTTTTATACCAATGTCTCGAAACTGTGGATCATATCTCATCTTGCAATCAATTAAATAATTTAAATGTTCCGTTGTTCTAAACAATAAAATTATATCATAATAAGTTATCTAAGAATAAATAATCGGAATTTCGACAATATTGACTCTCTGCAACAACAAAAATTCTCACGAAATTACAGCAATAATAATTGTTTACGGATATTTTAGAGTGTGAATGAGAGTAGTAGAGCCTGCTGTATTGACTCCGGGATGAATACAGATGTAAAAATTTTCGATTCGATGGGTTTTAGTAGTCTAAGACATGTGTACGATTCATTAGATAGTCACCAAATACAAAAAAAATCGAAAAAATATATCTCGTATTTTCAGGTCGATTGTCTGATTATAAATAGAAAGTTTTTATTAAGAGTATTAAAGTATAGTTCGATTGTGTTCGAAAATTTTTGAGTGTGTATCTTCTCTTCAATCACATCCCACTTCCGACATATCCATCTTATCAAATGATAATGCAATATGAATCAAAGCAGAAGAATATGGAAAAGAGATGTGCATAATATTGTTAAGTTTCCAGTCGAACATGAGCAATAAAATATCCTATAGAAATTATTATTATCATAATGCTCGGAAGAACTTTGGTCATTGCGGAAGTTCGACAATATTGTCAATACTTACGAGGGAAGGTCCCCAAGTGTGAGTCTCCGTTTCGAATCGGGTATTTGTTATTTTGTAGAGCTCAATGAGTACAGTACTCGCGTATAAAGGATTTCTGCCCATGGTGAACTTTTCAGGAACAACGAGGTTCCATACCTTCTGAAAAATCAGCATCAGACTCTTAACTTAAGGCTTGAATTTTAATATTGTAAGGACAAAACATAGTGTTGTTCAGGCCAATCGGTGGTTATTAATGATGCTCTTTCATATGGTCCGAATAACACCATGTTTTGTCCTTATAACAGTAAAGTGAATTTTTTTGGTGTTTGGTAGAAAACACTGTTTTCTATGAGCTATAGAAAAATTAACTCTACTATTATAAGGACGGAACACACTGTTGTTCGAGCCAATCTGGTGTTATCAAGGACGCTCTTTTATATGACCCGAATAAAAATTTGTTCCGTCCTTATAATAGTAGAGTTAATTTTTCTATAGCTCATAGAAAACAATGTTTTCTACCAAACACCAAAAAAATTCACTTTACTATTATAAGAACAAAACATGGTGTTATTCGGGCCATATGAAAGAGCATCATTGATAACCACCGGTTGGCCTGAACAACACTATGTTTTGTCCTTACAATATTGAAATTCAAGCCTTCAGTTAAGAGTCTTATGCTGATTTTTCAGAAGGTATGGAACCTCGTTGTTCCTGAAAAGTTCACCATGGGCAGAAATCCTTTATACGGGGGTACTGTACTCATTGAGCTCTACAAAATAACAAATACCCGATTCGAAACAGAGACTCACACTTGGGGACCTTCCCTCGTGAGTGAAAGAATTTGTTAAAAAATTGATTTAAAACATTCTAATCATGAAGTTTAATAGCAAATGCACCAGATGGTAGTCTATAATACCTAATTATAGAGAAAAAAATAGCTTTTGTTCCACATGACAGATTCAAACGAGAGCGGTTATCTTGAAAAGGAAGTTGAATCGAGTCTTAAGGGCTGAAGTTCTTCAATCACTGTATTGTCTAAAGTTGACGTCTTTGTATCAAATAAATTTGTCGGACTCGAAATGTTTTCATATTATGTAGTTATCGTCGTTGGTTATTCAAATCTTTTAGGTTGTTAAAACTTGAACACATTATTAGGTAACGTTTTCATTTTCATTGACAATCGAATCAATTAGTTTTCAGACAAGTATCTACTCTCAAGGTCAAAATCTAATGTGCTCCACTGGTTTTTGAATAACTTCTCATAGGAATATCATAGAGATCTGCGATTTTCACCATTCAAGAAAAAAAGATCTCGAGCTAGCAAAGTAAATCGAAATTTGATTGGTCAATAATTAAAAAAACAGGTGAACTCTTGATGGAGATTTTCGAAAACGATATTGTCAGGCTATTTTTCTTTCAATCTAAACGTTTAATAGGAAGAATCAGTAGAAAAAAATTCTTGTCTTTCGATCTACGTCAAGCCAACATTGCTAGCTTGTTTTGTTCTAGAGGCATAAGACTTTTCTTAAGACCTCTAACTTCAGCCAACTGACTTGCGATCACCTGGAAAAGTAGTTAGATAGGGATGATTAATCATTCTGAGTCGAATGATAATATCTATTCTAGGCTCAATATAATCCAATACTATTATTTCAATATTTCCAAAATGTTCACTCCTTTGTTAGATCAAGGTTGACCATGATGAATTAGGACTTCGTTGCTGTTCTCACGGATGATCCCAGTTCAATGACTGAAATTGTGGATCTCAGAAAAAGTTTTATAACTCTCAAACGCAACAAGCTAACACTGTCGGTTTGATGTAGATCGAAAGACAAGAGTTTTTTTCAATTGATTATTATTATTAAAAGTTTAAAACGAAGGAAAATAAATTCTGAATACGGTTTTCGAAAATCTCCATCAAGAACTCACATGATTTTTCAATTGCTGATCAATGAAATTTCGGTATACTTCACTGGTTTCCAATTTTCTTTCTTAAATGATGAAAAATTGCCGGTATCTTTGATATTCCTATCAAGAGTAATTCAAAAAAATAGTGCAGCACATTATATTTTGACATGATTTTCAAAGTGAATGAATGTAGATGATTATCAGTATGTTTATTGTATTTTCTCAGAAATACTCCAGGGAGTTCTTATCATTTTCCAGATTCTTTAGAAAATGGAGGATAACTAGGGATTGCGTATTTTCCCGGGCAATCTTTAATGAAAATGTACTATGTTTATCTTTAAAGTTTTTCTTCATCTCACATTTATTTCTGTTCTGCTATTGGAAATTTTACTACAAGGGATTTTAGCACTATTTTGATGCTTATGATATTTTGAATTCTGCTTCTCTGTGTCATAATTTTCTTTGCTCATATTTATTAAATTGTATATTTATGTTTGAGAATCATTTCGTAATCATAGTGTTACCTTTTGTCAGATGAAAAAAAGCGCATAAAATGACCGGCTATATAAATATAACATAAATTGCGTAATTGAAAATTCTAGATGGTACTATATTGCATGAAAAAATCAATGGACTACATTCTTTAACGAATGTTCGTTTAGCAAACTAGTATAAGGTCGTTCAGAAAAGTAAGTATTCGAAAGAAGATAATATTAACATGATAATTGTCGTAAATTAGAACTAGTTGCTCTTCTATTGAGTAGTTCACTTACAAAAATATAAATCAATCTTTACCATATGTTTATGTCAATTATGCTCATTTATCTAGTACAAACAAGCGTTATGAATGCTCGATTTTGACCTGTTCAAAGTAAAATACTCTACTGTCGTAACGAGACACAATGTATACCATATTGTGAAAGAGAAGAATATAATTGCCGAGGATGTAGATGTCAAGATGGTTGTCATGGATAAAAATAGTAATCGAATAATCACCTAATTAAATGACAACTGAAATGTTTTGATGTTTAAAAGAACGTCGTACACTTTGTAGTCAAAACTATATCATCAATGTGATTTATTAACATTTTCATTTTGTAGTTTGGACCTCAATATATATTAGTAACTTTCATTATGCTTAAAATAACTCTTATTTTGGAGATAGATCATGTATTCATGACCAGATATCGAAGAAAGATTCAAGTACTAGTCATAGTTTTTAGTTTTACTTTTTGTCTATTAGTAAAGACAATAGCAAATTTATAACGATTTCGAATAATCAATTTCTTCATTTACAAAAATCAAAACTATTTATGTCTCACACAGTAGAATTCTTCCTTGTTGAATATCTGAGCTAATGACATTTATATATGGTCCTTTATGTTTAAATGTTTCACTTCATAAATAGCAAACTAATAATTTTATTTCTATTTAGACATTTTTGTCATTTGATTATAGATAATATTACTCATATCAGAAAGCGATTCAATGGTCCTTTCTCGGATATATCTTGTCTATGGATGTTACAAGAAATCATAGACGATGGAGTCACGAGGCTTGTATAGGTTCAAAAACTTTTCTCCTTCCATTAGATTGATAGATTTTCCAGCAGGGTATCACAATTTCTGTACAAACACCAATATTCTTCGCCTTTTTCAGTGACTAATAATAACATATTCTTAATGAAACACACGTAGAAAATGTTTTGGGAAAAATATTGAGTTTTGTACAAGTAAATATTGAATCATACATCGGCAATGACTTGAAATTAAACATCTTCATTACAAGTGAAGAAGCACTGTACGAAAAATCTGAGTGGGACTAACTAGAATCTGCGAAAATGTTTCTTCGCCATCAGTAACTAAGATTACATTCTTATTAAGTATTCTTAACAATGAAGAAGCTCATAATCCAACATCTATGTTTTGTAAAATTATTGTGCCTCGCCATTAACCTTCGTTTCGGTAAAGTAGATTTTCAGATGAGGATTTTATAAAAGAGAATGTTGAGTCTACCCCCCTAGATTAGAAACGTTTCGTCGATTATGCAAGAAATGACATATTCAACAAAGTGAACGTCTCATATATCGTTCGGTGAGGAGAAAAAATGGAAATTGAGACATGATAATGATTGTTCCACATGATACCAATCTTCAGAAAATACGTTAGAAAGATTACTTTTCTTTTAATTTTATTTGAAAAACACAAGATAAATATGACAAAACGCTTAGGATATTATACAAACAATACTTTATTAAGTGGATTTGAGTTTATTACGAGCAACACATTTACGGACGAGTCTTCGAGTTTGACTAATATCGAGTAATTCATCATCTTTTAAGTTTATATTTGGTATTTTAGTTTTTATTTTCACTGATTTGACTGCAGGTGGTGTTGGAGGATTTGCTGTCTATAATAAACATTTATTTCACAGTAGTAAAAAGAATGTATAAAACCTATCAACTTACGTCCATTACTTCACTATCACTTGATTCTTCCTCATCGTTTGGTTTATTGAATGTAAGTCGAGCACTTCAACGGCTACCACCAGCTGGTTCTCATCGAAGTTTCTTCTTCATGATAGGTTTCGCTTCAGGTGTTGCTTTTCGTTTTACTGATGTTTTCTTACTAGAATCAAAGCATAAATTATGAAAAATTTCATAGTAAAACTGTATACTTTACATGATAGATGTACGAGTACGCGTGGTTCTTTTTTTGATAATTGGTGCAGGAGGAATTACTGCAAATTTTGTATCGCAACCAAATAATCCTTCAAGTACTGGAACAACAGGAGTAGCAATGGTTTTAGTTTTATATATCCACTTTATTCCAATTTCTTTTAATGTTCCAAGCGTCGAAAGATATTCAGCATTAGGTGTTATTGCTGGAATACTTGTTGTTCCATCGTGATTATTCATTTTCAAACGACGTGCTTTAGCACCTGTAAATAAGGATTAAAATATAATTTCAATATTTGAAAAAGTATATCTCTGTCGACGTACCGCCACCCTGCATTACTTCATGTATACGACGAGTAAGTTCAGTTTCATCTACTGAACCACCACGTAAGACAGCTTCATGCATGACTTCTTCATGCACTTGTGCTATTAGTCGTTCTAAAGAAATCTCTTCTTTTGCTGAACCAACAATAATCGCAGCTAAATCACCACAATTTGCCAATGGTATGTATTGACTACCGGTTTTGAAAGCAAGGGCCATAAAAAAATCACGATAAGGTGTAGCTGTTGGTTCACAACCGATTGTATATAAAGTTACACTACGTTCAGCAAGTAAAGTAGCACATTCGACTGGATCATGTCCTGATGGATCACCTGAACAAAAACAATGAAGTAGTTTTTGAAAAAACTAGATGTATCATTTTCTACCGTTCGGCCAGCTATCACCAAAACCCCCTAAGCCATTGAGGAGGTGCATCGGCAATAAGAAGGGCAATCTTAACTGCATTTTTTCGCCATGATAAAGTGTGAACAGCTGCATGTAATGCAGGTGCTATGGCTTCAGGAAAATCTCCACCTAAATATAATTTTATAAGAAATTTTAAATTATCAGTAAAATATCAAAACCTCCATAAGCAGCAGCTACATCAATATGGTTTTTCACTTTTTCTACATCATCGGTGAAATCATTAACTTTAATAACAAATGTATGATCTTGAGGAGGGTGATCGCGATAAAGAATCAAAGCAACATTCAATAAACATCGTTCGCTTAAAATAATATCTTGAATAATTTTTTGCATATTCTACAAAATAGTTTTTTTTATTAAATCTTTTGATATTTTCCATAAATAAGTATACACACCTCTCGAGCTGATCTAATATATGATGACATACTAGACGTAGCATCAATAATAAAAGCTAAATCTAGTTCTGTTGGTATACTAGATGCAGCCACGTCGTTTGTCAAAGACGAATATGATTTAGGCATAGTTTCTAGATACAAAGATTCATGTCATATCTTATCTGAATAATATGTCGATCTTTTTATAATCATACCAATCAATGAACTAAACTTTTTTTTTTTATATTCAATATGATTCTTATTTATACACAATACTAATGAACATACAAATCTGCTCTCCTTATATACGAAACAAACTGGCTGTAAAAGCATCATTGCATGTTGATTGAGCAATAACCATTCTTTCTGCTGTTCTTTTTCGTGCTGGCGTAAACTTTTTAAAACGTATTTTTGCAATGCGTTAATTCAAATTTTTTATTCAATCTCATAGAAAAAAAGAGAAATATTGCCTATCCCTAATAAGAATTCATAAACATATATCTTCTTAACATATTGTACAAAACATAATCGATCGATTAATCGATTAAAAAAAAAAAAGAAAAACTCAGATCCATCGGCAAGGTAAAAATGGAATGTATAATAATAGTAGCAAATAAGAGAAATAAAAAATCCTTTACAAATACAAAAAAAAACATGATTCTAAACAATGGAATGTGTAAAGAATGATATGAAACATAAGAATAAAACAAATATACAATTTATCAGAGATCGTACAGCTGTATTACATCCATCACGTTCATCACAAAAACAATAGACAGGCTCATCTGTTTGAACGTACCAAGGACGATAAGCTAGACCCTACAACAAAAAAATAAAAAATAATTTTTATTTTAAGTAAATATTCAAAAGAATACACACAATATATTTATCACTTGCTGCCCAACATCCATTCTCTCTTACAGTTGGCATTTCAGGTCGAAGAGCTTCAATTTGATTAATACAACCACGTATATAATTAATTTCACCTGAAGAAATCGAGAAAAAAAACAAACAAGTATGTTTCTTTTCTTTTTTTGTAATAATGAAAGCGTTTGATTATTTACCATCAGGTGAACGTTCGATTATTTTAACACATTTACTTCCACCTGGTGCAATACAACGTTTCCAACGCATTAATATCCAATCAAGTTTTTCACCACAACCAGGTCGATTACTATGACATTCATAACAATCCAAATAAAATCCATTTAAATAATCAAATAATTGTGGCATTTCAGGTTGAGCTTAAAAATAGAATTAATTTCATTTTTTTAATTATTAAAAATAAAACGAGCGTTCTTTACTTTTATCCACAAAAATTGATAAAAAAATAAAAATAAAAATTGTTGAACTCCACATTTCTATCAAATAATAGTTGAAGGTGAATAAAAAAAAAAGAATTAATACACACACGCACACCACTAATAAAATCACACAACGCGACTCTCTACGACATTAATCAATATTTTCATTGGTTATTCTTTTCTACAAATCAAATCAAATTGTCTACAAAAACAAATAATTTGTCGTCGTCGTCCTCCTTTCGAGGAAAGTCAATAAATGGATTCACGAGCACGTTCTATACTTAGTACAACTCATGAAGGACTGGCACCAAGTTCTATGAAGGTTTATTTAAAAAACTTCATCTAGTCTTTCAAAAAATGTGTTTCGTTTGTTTTTAACAGTCTTTAGGTGAAAATAAATTACGTATATTCGAACAAGGAACTGTTGCGATTAATACTCGAACAAATTTATCACGTAAAGAACGTGAAGATCTTCGTGCTAAAATTGAAGCGAGTGAAACAGAAGAAGCATTAAAAGAATTTGTTGCTGCTTTTGAAGAACCAACAAATAAAATAAATAAAACATTTATTAAAGGTGGAGTTTTTAATCCTGGTTCGCATGAAGAAACTCCAAGTGATCGAGGAAAAACATATCGAACATCAACAACATATAATAAAAAAGATGATTCAACACATAGTAAAGATAGTTTACAACAGCAAATAGCTAAAAGTAATGCAGCAGCATTGGCTGCTGCAGCTGCTCTATCAGCAGCACCCGAAAATAAACCAGTAAATTCTTTATATATATATATATTTATATAAATTTAACAAATATTGAATTTAGAAATTAAAAACTGAACGTGAGAAACGTAAATCAAATTTAGAATCATTTAAAGAAGAACTTAAAAGGTAAAATAAAATTTAAAAAAAAAATGTCTTTTTATGACTTTTTATTTATTTAAGAATTCAAGAAGAACGTGATCGTCGTCATATGCAAAAACGAGAAAAAGAAGGAAAATCAACACGATTTCAACCACCACCATCTACTTCTTTACATTCTGATCTTGCTCGTAAATACCAAAAACAAATGTTTTGTTTTTTTCATTAAATTTTCTTTCTCTAGTCGATTCGGATTCACTTCAACATGAAAGTCGTCATTCAAGTGATGATCCAAATACAACAAATTTATTTATTAATACAATTCCACGTTCGGTAAAAGAAACAAATTCGTTTTTGATAAAAATAGTTGAAATTATTTAGATGAATGAAACAAGTATAATGGAATTATTTGGTCGTTATGGACCATTAGCAAGTGTTAAAATAATGTATCCAAGAAGTGATGAAGAAAAATCTCGTGGAACCAATTGTGGTTTTGTTGCTTATATGAGTCGAAAAGATGCTGAGAGAGCTATGCATGAATTAAATGGTACACAATTAGATTCAATATCTGTTCGAATGAGTTGGGGACGAGGTAAATAAAAATTTTTAAAAGAAACAAAGTCATTTATTTATTTTTTTTTTATAGCCGTTCATATTCCACCTCAACCGGTCTATATTCCACCTACAATGAGAGAATTAATTATGCCACCACCACCATCTGGTCTACCATTTAATGCTCAACCAAATACAAAATATCGTGCGTCAAAATTACAAGATATACTTGGTCGAGAAAAAGAACTTTCAAAAGTAAATTTTATTTACATATGAAGATAAACAAAAGAAAAATTCATTTATTTTAGCTTCTTGAACATGCTACTGTTCGAGTGATTATTCCTCATGATAGGTTTGTATGAATTAATATTTATTTGAATTTAATTAATTCTTTTTTATTTTTGAAGAGTTTTATTATGTTTAATTCATCGAATGATTGAATTTGTTATTCGTGAAGGTCCGATGTTTGAAGCAATTATAATGCGTCGTGAAATGAATAATCCACAATTCCGGTAATGATAACTTATTAACTCTCATATCATCATCTGAAGTTCATATCGATCTCAGATAACTTCATTTTTATGTTTTGCCCCCATAGTATTAGATCAAACTTCATCCTTTTTGATATACCTTAGGGAAGGCTAGCAGAATATATGGATGACATTAGTTGATCCAATTTAATTACTGTTAATATGATATAGCAGTTCAAAGTATATGTAAACGTTTCTTCGATACGTGTAATCCCTCTAAACCTTTTAATATAGAACTCATTTGACGATTCTCGTTTCTGTGTTAATATGTCAATTCGAATGTCATATGAATGTTGTCATATATTGTGATAATTGTCATGTCAAAATCATTTGTGACACATGCTGAGAAATATTTTAAGCATATGGGAAAAGATTAATAAACAGTAGTCAGAAGAAAATCTCTCCAGTTTTAAAATCGCTGTTCAACTGAGATGATGTTTATTTGATGAGTGCTGACGAGTAATAGAAAAGTCTATAATGGTTTGATTTTTTGAACCTTCATTCTTCAGATATCGAAGTTTTACTGAATTTTTCAACAAAAAGTTGTCATTCCTCGCAGATCCAACTTTTAGTTTTTCTAGTATTTCCTTTCCGGAGATGTAAATATATGAACAAAATTTACTTTTATACATGAGAAAATTCCGAATATTGAATATCTCACAATAGAAATGCTAAAAAAGTTAAAAGTTTTCCGATGAACTAAACTCATCGAGAACTTTGTTCTTTATCTAAAAAACAAAGCCTAAAAAAAAACTAAACCATTCGAGACTTTTTCTATTACTCGCTAATACTTATCAAATGAGCATCGCCTCAGTCGAAAAGCACTTTGACACTTAAAGAAGTTCTCTTGTTAGATAAATCCTTCTACAGTTATTATGCATCCTAACGGTAATTTACGCTAAGATCCGTATGAATCTCAGTTAGAAACCACGCTATTATTTCAGGGGTGGTGATATCATGATTAAACAAATTCAAATTTTATTTTTTGTTTTTCATAGGTTCTTATTTGATAACCAAAGTCCTGCTCATACATATTACCGATGGAAACTTTATTCAATTCTTCAAGTAAAATTATTTTTGTATTTTATCAAAATCAAAAATGTTACGTTTTTTTCTTCTTCGTTGCTATTGATTAGGGCGATGGTGTAACAAACTGGCGAACAGAAGCATTTCGTTTATTTAAAAACGGTAGTTTATGGTTACCACCACAACCTCAACAATTTACATCCGGCATGCCTGATGAAGTATTTGAAAAAGTTAAAAGAGAAACAGAAAATGAAACAATTGTCAAAGTGGAAGTGAATGTACCAGTGATTAATCAGAATAATACTAGCAATAAACGAGGTCGACTTAGTCATCGGTAAAAACGAATATTGTTTTTTTTTTATGATTATTTTATATATATGTATATTTTATGTAGACAAAGAGATCATTTGGAAGATCTTTTACGACAATTAACACCTGAACGAACAAAAATTGGTGATGCTATGATTTGGGCTATTGATCATGCTGAAGCAGCTGATGAAATAATTGATTGCATAACGGAATCACTTTCAATTCTTCAAACACCATCACATAAAAAAGTAAATAATATCATACAATTGAAATATTCTTAAATTAATAAAATGTTTTCTTTTTCTTGATTTTTAGATTTCTCGACTTTATCTAATATCAGATATTCTTCATAATTGTAGTGTTAAAGTAACAAATGCATCACATTATCGACGAGGGTAAAGAAAAAACACAGAAAAAAAAAAAAAAAAAAAAAGACTGTTATTTGATTTAGATTTGAAGTACGTTTACCTGATATATTTCAACATATTAATCAAGCTTGGGCAGCTATTGATGGACGTCTTCGTGCGGAACAATTTAAAGTATTTAAAAATCAATAAAAAGATTTTTTTATGTATTATTTTTAATAATTTTCTAGCAAAAAGTTATGAGTAGTTTTCGTGCTTGGGAATCTTGGGCAATATATCCAAGTGATTTTCTTATAAAACTTCAAAATATATTTCTTGGTCTTGCACGACCTAAAATAATAATAGTAAGAAAAGAAACATTTTTTTTACAAATTTCTTTCTTAATAAAACAAAATAAAGGAAAATGAAACGAAAAAATCAGCATTCGATGATGATATTGATGGTAAACCAATTAATGTTGAATCATCTGATAATCGACCATTAGCACTTGTGGCTGATTATGATGATGAAGAAGATATTGATGGAAAACCAATGTCAATTCAAAGTTCATCAATCGATGATGATATCGATGGTCGACCATTAAATACTAGTCGTGAATGTACGATTTTCTATTGTTATTTTTTTTTCTTATCCTTCGAATATTTCATTATTTTTCGTGTAGCTCGACCACGTTTTCAAGAAGAAATCGAAGAAATCCCTTCTTCATCATCAACAATTAAACCTCGTTTTGTTCCAACAAAATGGGAATCTGTTGATCCAACACTAATTACTACTCAAGGTAAAATATCGAGTAGATCATAATGAATGACACTAAATGTAAACGCTATCTTTCTCTTATTTTACTATTAATTTTAAAAAAATTTATTCATATACTAAAAGATAGAGAACTTCGATCTCTACAAAATTCTGTAATTAAATTTTAAAAGATAATTTTCCTACTATGACACTTAAACTAAACGAAAGCTTTAGATGAAAAGTTAATAAAACAGAAAAAAATGAACATTGAATTTTACATCCAGTTTTTTTCGTGAACTTGGCAAAAATATATAGCACAATATGCATCTTTCGGAATTCCGTTGGTTGCTGTGCCATGAATAAAAATTTCTTTTTAAAATTGAATTACAGGCTTTTGTAGAGCATAAAATTCCTCTATATTTTGGTCTATAAATGAATTTCATTTTATGAATAGTAAGTAAGAGAAAAGATGCATTTACATTCAATGCAATTTATTATGGTCTGCCCATTAAAATAAAATAAAAAAAAAATATATTTCTTATTTCCTAGCCGTAACTATTTCGAAATGGGATTTTGATCAAGAATCAACTATTAAAGGAAATGAAAGTTTATATGAAGATTTAGCCGAAACATCAAGAACATCATCGGATAATAATAATAATAAAACAAACAACGAGTGAGTTTTAATAACGGAATACAAAAAATATACCAATGGCAATATATTTAATCATGTTCTACTATTAAAGTGAAAATATTAGAAATAGTTCATCAGCAAGTACGCATAGTATTGATAATACAATAGTTCCAGATTCATTATCAACATCAGATACATCAGAAGAACGACGTCAAAAATTACGAGATATTGAAGTATAATAAAAATTTGTTGTTGTTACTTTTTTTAATTTTAATCATGTTGTTTCTTTTTTAGATTCAAGTATTGAAATATACAGATGAATTAGAATCTGGAAGACTTGAACGTGCATATGGTCTTTCATTAGCAGAAGAAATTGAAATTTATCGACAAAATTTATTAAAAAAAGTTAGATTATTATTCAATATAATTGATTATTTTTCTTCATTTTATGTTTATGATAGATTGAAGTAGATGAGAAATCAACAACTGTTTCATCTCCGGATTCATCGAAATCAACAAATCGAACTTCAATATCAAACAAACAGCAATACGAATCATCATCATTATCATCATTGGCGTCAAGAAATAATTCATCACGATATTCTCAACAAAGAAACATGGATGAGAAAAGTACGTGAGTGCGACGTCAGAAAATTCTTTTATTCTTTGACGTACGCGAAACAATTAATATAAATAAAAAATAAGAAAACAGAAAGAAAAACTTGATATTAGCTGAGATTATTTACAAACAATACATAAATATATATTTATGGTTAATTCTCATGCTTGTATATATACCTATCTCCAAATAGATCAAGAAACTAGTTCGCGTCGCGACGATTCGTCTTCTAGACATGTGAGTATTAACAAAATTTTCTTTTGCTTTTTTTTTCATTTATTTTATATGAAAAGGTAAAGCCTTTTAAGAATGTATTTGTAATGCTTTAAATTATTTATACAACTATAGACATGAGCGAATTGGTATTCAAACTAAAATCAAAACTATTGATTCTTTAAATGTTTATTTTAACATTTAAAAAAAAGAGACTATTAGCAATTAAATGAATATCAATGTAAAAATGAAATGTTTGAAATTAATGAATAACAATAGAAAATTATGTGAAAAGAAAACAGTGAATTTCAAGACTTCTCAAGTGAAGCCTCAGTTGATTTCTCATTGGAATTATATTGATAACAGTTTGCTGAGACTTAAAGAAAAAAAAGTCTAGTTCGTTCGGAAAATTTTTTAAAGTTGTTGTTCATGGTGCTCCTATAAAAAGACTGAGAGAAGGCTCATTCTCCATCCTTATTAAAATTCTGGCATCGTTGCCAAAAAAAATGACTTGATAAAATCATGATTAAATCTGCCTATCTGTTTTCATGACGGAAATCAATAGTTCATCAAGTAAAAAATGAAAATAATCAGAAAAGAGATAATAGAATCTTCAGCTCTTTCTAATTTTATTGATTATCTCTGCCGAACAAAAAATAAATGGAATACATGGTCTTTAATTTGTTTCAATTCATGTATATAGATAATTATGACAAATTCAATTTCCAATAAATAGATTTCGGCAATTTGAATATTTTTTTTCACAGACTTCTTAACGTACTTTTAAAATACTTTTCTCATTATAAATCGTAATAAAAAAAAAAAAAAGAATAGAAAGTCATTCATTTTATTGCTTTACGAGTAATGTCAATCGCTCGGAAAATGTCAATTATTTATTTATTCTTAAACTTTTGAGAAGTGATGCCGCTTAAAATCAAAGAATAAAGAAATCTGGAAATTATACAATGAACAGATAACAAAACCTAAAGACCGGTCACGCAATCGAAGTATATCTTGCTTTTTACATTACAAATTCTGTAACCTCATCAAAAGAAAAATCAAAGCCTAAGAGAAATAGAATAGTTTTGAATAAATTTGATATTCTAGTAATATGAGATGCCATGCTTAACACAAAAACTATCATTGTCTGTTAATATCAATATATATTCAATTTTATTGATATTAAAAATCGAAGAAAACATGTTGTTTTAATTGCATGAATTTATTATTAAATAATATTTTATTGAAAAAGTTAAAAAATGTCTCGTTTGTCTATTAATTATTTTTAGAAATTGGCTTCAACACGAAGTAATTCATCAAATTCAAATCAATCTGAGTAAGTCTTTTGTTCTTTTTATTTTCTAATCTTTAAAAATATGTCAACATTCGTGTAAAAATGTCCGTGTATTTCATGACATGTAATTCAGAATTAGTTAGTTTTTTCATCAATAAAGCTCATTGAAAAGACAATAAATGCACGATTAAGTTCTTGTTTCTTTTAATCTTGCGATTAACAAAAAGCACTATATTGTATTTGAAGTTCTGCACGATCATCATCATCATCCAGAACGACTACTGATCATCATCACCATCACCATCAACATAAACGAAAGCGAGATGACCGTTCACCATCACCATCTTCTCGTCATTCGCGATCCAGTCGTCGATGAATACATGAGAACAGCAATGCTCTCTCTTTTTTTTTTTGTGTGTAATTTTTTTTTGTTTGACTTGCTATTGTACGAACATATATATGTGTATATAAATAGAATTTTTTTTCCTGCTCGTTGATATTCTACCTTATTGCTATATTTGTTCGGAACAAAATATAAAAAAAAAGGACGAAAGAGAATGGACGACTCATAGAGAAGTACTTTTTTTTCTAATATAATCATTCGACAACATTATATATATTTTTTTTCTTCCATTACATGACACAGGACTATTTCTTCTCGTTTTTTTTGCTGTTCTCTCTCCGAAAGAATTCGACGACATCAGTCTTCTCGTGTATGTTCTCCTTGGGATTAGCTCGATCATTTCTCATTCAGAGCTGACAGAAATGAACGGAAATATAACAGACATTTGTTGGTGTCCGATGATCTAGAAGCGAAAAAAAGAAGCTGAGTATTAGAACATAGAACTGTTCCCTTAGCGTGACAATAGCATGAGATGGTCTTGAATAAGAACAGAAAATAATAGATACAATACTATTCCTTTGACAAAACTTACTAACAACCATTTACAGCATCTGCTTTGAAATACATTCTTTTGTTTTATTGTCTTCTTTTTTTATTATATTTGTGTGTAGATAAATTACGAATATTAAAAAAAATGCATTTGACATCATCAACGGAAATCGGAAGTTGACGTCGTCTACCGTGTACTTTGTGTATATTCTGTGTAACAAATAATTGTGAATCTGAAGAATAAGGGAGCAGATACGAATAAACATTAGCTTGTGTTCTTGTTCGTGCTATCAAAAAAAAAAAAGAAAAAAAAAATAGAAGAGCGCGCGAGACCAGAAAGGAAGAAAAGAACGTATTTAGTTCGTATATATTTTTCATCGTGAAGAAAAAAAATAGATACATCGAAACATTGTCGTTCGTCTGTAATAAATGAATGCGGCATATACGTCTTCGATTACGTTCCACGATACTTTTCATTCTGGCTACATTAATGATATTCTTTTTAATAACACTTTATATATTAATATGGTCAACACATGAACTCGAACGACGAGAACACATTCGAGATGCACCAAAACCACCAGGTGTTGTACCTTTTTGGTCAGCTATTAGTCATCAAAATATATATGATTTATATGCAACACCACCTAATACAATATTTAAGCGTCGAGTAAATATCACTCAAAGTCGTATTGAAGAAATTTTTCAATTAATACGTAATGCACGCACTGATCAAACTCATGTAATTGATGCAGAAGAATTATATCCTATTGATCCGAAATGGAATTTTCAAAAATTACTTGAAGAACAACAAGCACAAGAACAAGATGATAAAAATGCTGATACAGCTGATTCAACAGCTAATGTAACAAAAAAGACAACAACTCAATCTGATTTAACAACAACAAAAATTTTTGGTGATTATGATAAAATACAATTAAGAAATTATGTACATCAAGTGTTAGCTAAATGGAAAAAAGAACATCAAAATGATAAAATTGTTAATATAGCAAAGCTTATGCATGATGAACTTGAACAAGATGAACCATCGTAAGTTTTTTTGTACCAAAACTATTTTTTTTTTCTATGAAACATAAAACCTTTCATACTTCTATAAGACTAAATCAATTATTTGCACACGTGTAATATCTGGTGTGTAAAAAAGCAACAACTTTTAAGTGTATGTTTTTACAAAAGATAAAACTTTTCCTGATTTCTTTATAAAAACATTTGTTATCGAATGTTGTGAAGTTAATCGTATGGTATTAGTAAATCATTTTCCTATTGATATAGTCAATTTAATATCTATGCAAAGTATACTTTAAATAATGAATTTTTAATTGTTAAGTTTCTTATTTGTTAAAAGAGCCTCTTTTATACGACTAAATTGTCTGTCATATGATAGCACCATATTTTTTTCTTCTAAATATTATTCAATGCCTTTTCAGTAACAAAAAGAATAATATATGAGTTGTTCTCAGCAATTGTAAATGATGATAAGAACCGATAGATGTTTTTCTTTTCCTATATATATGAGTGTAAAGTTATAAATTATTGATACGTAATTAATAAGACTCAATTCAATTATGTACGACACATTCACATATACATATATAGTTCAATTTGTAATAGGTTAACTGTTAATCATATCTATTGAATTTTTTGTCGGTTACAAGATGAAAAATATAATATTCTTCAATTCATTCGTCATTTTTTGTCTAAATAAATATTTTTTTGAATCATTTAACGATAAAATGTGATTAAATGGGACCCTTTTTTCTAAATTGATTTCACAAACAACAAAATATCACAGATGTTTCAAACAATTTTTTTACATGCTTTATTTCTATGAATCAATGATTATTATTTAAGAAATTTAGCAATGAAATACAGATGTTCCATCTGATGTCATATGAATCAATTTTGTTTAAAACAATATTTTGAATAAAAAGATAGAGCAAAAAGTGCCTTGGTCGACATATACTTGAGTGTAAAAATATATTTAGAAAAGAATAAGTTTTATCACACTGTTCTCTATATGGAAAAAGAAATTTCTTTTTTTCAATTTTGATACTTTTCTTATTTGTATCCTATGCAAACATAGTATATATACATATTTATAGTATCAATCAAATATTGAAATGGTTTCTTTAATATATAAATTATAAGCTGGCATCATTTTTCATCTCTAATCCATCGTAGAAACCAATTTAATTTTTAAGTAACGCCGTATTGTAATTGATTTGGGATTCTTTCGAGAAAAAAATATATCGATCATTCGTTTTAGGAGATTGAACACATCATGGTATAAATATATGAAAACAGTAACTAATTTACGTGTTTATGATCCTCATAGTCCAGAGCTTAAACGTCTTTTAAACCATTTACAAAATGCTGAAGTTATTGAAGCGAGTGAGACATACTTAATTATTTTCTTCTAGTTTATGATTTTTTTTCTTTTCGTTCTTTCAGGTGAAATGTCACAAGGCACACAGATTAAAATTATTCTAGACTTACCTGACGGTTTTGAAGCACTTTTCAAGCCATACAGGTGAATAATTTATTTCTACTTTGTTTATCCTTTTATATTTTTTACAACTTATAGAGTACCGCGTAATTATCAAACATTACCAGATCATTTCTACTTCAGTGATGTTGAAAGACATCATGCTGAAATAGCGGCTTTTCATTTAGACAAGTAATTTAACTTCTGCTTTTTTTTTAGTATAATTTCTTACATTTATAAGAATTCTTGGTTTTTATCGTGTTCCGCCATTAATTGGACGATTAATTGATATAACTCGAGATATTCGTGAAAAAGCAACAGAAGAATTAGCTAAAACATTTTTTATTTCACCTGGTAAAATAAAATGAAATCTTATTTGTAATATTTTTGAAATTTCTAGCAAATAATACGTGCTTTCGTGGTCATTGTTCCTATTATTGTGATACATCTCATGCTGTTTGTGGTAAACCAGGCGATCAATTAGAGGGTTCTGTTCAAATTCTTTTACCACGACCACCTGAAATTGATTGGGAAAAAATTACTCATCCATATCGTCGTTCATATAGTGCTATAAGAAAAGCTAAATGGGAAACTAATGAAAATTATTGTTATGAACGTGTTTTTTTGGGTAAGTTCAATTCTATATTGTTTGTCTTTGCTTTTTAATCATAGTAATAATAATACTTTGTCATTTGTCTTTTAGATGAAGATTTTCATAATCGTCTATTACTTGACATGATGGATTTATCAGCATTTGACTTTCTCATTGGTAAATAACTTTCTATAAGCTTTTCTTTATGATACAAATAGCACTTAAATGTATTTCTTTTTTTTTCTTACTATGAATGTATAAGATAGAGTGTTATATCAATTTTGAATGATCTGTCTTTCGGACGGTTAGCTCTTTGTCTTGTATTTTAATGGGAGACTTTGAGAGAATGATTAATAGTAGAGAATGTCGAGATTCTAATTGAATGAACTAGTCGACATTATAATTGAAATTTTATATTATGTCGCCATCTCATGAGACGCACAACGTAAAACTACTAGAATGAGAAAAGGGGTTCCGGAATGTTGCCAACATATCCTTCAGGACCTTCAATTGGCAAAATTTTGGCCATGTGATGAAATAAAACAAGTCGTGTAACTCTATGGAATATTCTTTGGTTTCTGATACTTTTTAGGTAATATGGATCGTCATCATATGATGCGCATTAGTTCTTTTGGTAGTAATACAGCCTTGATTCATTTGGATAATGGTCGAAGTTTTGGTCGATATGATTATGATGATTTATCAATATTAACACCAATTCGTCATTGTTGCCTTTTTCGTTATTCAACATTTGCTCGTTTATATCGTGTTTATCGTCAAGGTCTTTCAACATTATTATCTCGTTCATTAGAAAATGGTGAACAATTACAAAAGATTCTTGTTGATGAACATCTTACAGCTATTGATCGACGTTTAGAAATTCTTTTTGGACATTTAGATACTTGTATTAAAACTTATACAGTGAAAGGAGTCATGATAGATGATGGAATAGATTAAGTCGAGTGTGATAGTTATATGATGGGTAACTACAACAGTGAATTTTGTTTTATTTTCATGTTAGAGACATTTTTCATTTTGTTGTTGTTGTTGTTGTTGTTTTCTTTTTTTGTGAAACAAGAAAATTTTATTAATAAAAAAAAACTGGTTTAGGAGATAATACATAATTTTGAATTTGATGGTTGCAATCTATTAACAGCACCGACAAAACGAACAAATTGATCTCGATATAATTTTGTATTATATTTCTCTTCATATCGTTCGCTTATAGCATTATATTCAATTTGCCAATCAGGTCGAAGACATTGTCCGTAGAGAAGAAGATCTATACCATGTCGAAAATCATACAAATCAATTAATTCTTGATGAATACAATTATCATCAAACCATTGTGCAATATCTTCTTTTGTCCATTGTTCTACTGATTTCTTTGAAGATTTTCGATTAGCTTTAATATGATTATCTTCATTAGGTTTTATTTGATTATTTGTATTTTCAATTGGCTTATTTTCAAGGACTCGAGGAGAAGTAGTTGAAGGTTCAGCTACTTTTTTTTTATCATATTCTTGATGTTTTTTATCTTCAATAATAAGTTTAATAAGTTCTTTAATTGTATCATTAAATGATTTTTTTTCAAAACGAATATATTGTGGGCCAACAATACGTACACCTAACCAGCCAGTTGCTACAAAATCTTTTTTGATGTATATTGGAATAAAACGTTTTTTAAGTGAATGTTTTGCATACATCACTTCTTGTCGACATGATTTACTATCTTGATAATCTTTTGACATTAAAAAAAGAACAACATTCGATTGCTCAATAGCTTGACCTATTTCTTCCCAAAAATCTTCCGTATGACAATAGGCGAAATCTATCCAAATTTGCAGACGATCATCTATAGAATAGAGAAGAAGAATATAGTTTCAAATGTTTCACTTTTTCTAGAATAAAGAAAAGCAATGCCATATTTACAGAGACATTTTTTGGATATGAAATATGTTTTCAAATGAATCATATTTATAACCAAAAACAAAATTTTATCATTGATAGGCTTCGACTAAATCTATTAATACGAGAACATGCGTGATAAAGAAAAAATATTAAAAAAAGATTTATTTATCAACAAGAAATAAGCTTTATACTCCATATAAGATCGTATACTATAAGTTAAGGAGATTTATCATATTCGTGCTGAATCAATGCTCTCACTGGCAAATTAATTAATTTTAAATATGAGCTGTCCATAACGTGCATCAATCGAGATATTCGAATTTCAACTTATTGATAGTCTATATCGTGTATCCATATCGAACTATGACAGCAACAAAAAAATCAATGATGCTAAAATCTTCAAGTGTGAGCTCATGGCATAAACTTTGAAGACTTTGAAATTCAAATGTCTCCATCAGTACAGGCTATAAGCAGCTCATACTATTTTGACGCTATCTCCCTCCTCTCAAAAATCGAGCTTGAATCAGGTACATTTAAATTGCATGAAATTTGCATGATATGTGTTGGAATTGTGGTGAAGAGGCTAACGTAAAATTTTCAAATCAAAACACTGCCATTTTAAGAAGATATTCAAGCAAGAAGGATAAAAGAATAGTTCAGTTGACTACCGATAAGTCTCTGTGGGTCGTCATTCTACATAGTTTTCTTTTCGTTTGACAGAGTATGTCAAGATGCAGGGGATTATAGGACTCTTTTTTTTTCAATTCTCATTTTTTTGAAAGGAGAAAAGACATAAAAGTTCAACGTCAAAAAAAAAACTTTCAAGAAAAATTACATTTTAATTATAAAGGCACTTTTTTTATATAATAGTAGAAACGTTTAATTTAAAACTAGATGATATTCGAGTTTCGACTTGACTATGAAATGCGGTGCGAAGCACGAATCGCGAGTTTTGGAAAAATGACGAGACTTCGTAAAAAACAGAAAAATTGATTGTCGGATTAATGTCGAGTGCTCTTTCCCTCAAGTTCTTCATGTTCTATCGATCGTAGACCTTTCGTTTTCATCAATCAGCTGATCAAAGTCAGAAAGAAGTAGAAAAGTAGTCATGATAAAATTCATCACTGCAAGAACTCTATCAAACCGTATAAACACCTTTCTGAAGAACGCAGTTGATTGATCGTTTAATTATCTCTATGATTCATTATCTAGAATCAGCTGTTGTCATAGCTGTTTGCCGAATGAGAAAAGAAACTGGCCCCTAACTTATGCTTATGTTTTCGATAATAATTATCTAAAAATGAAAAGAATATAAAATCCTCTCAAATTTTGTCATTTTCGGAGGCTACTTGTAAGAAAACCGAACATCTTTTGGAGAAGAACTGAAATGAATTTATTAGTTCGATCGAAAGAACATAAACAGAGACAAAGCAAAAAAGATTTTCCATTTTACCTTAAAAAAAGACATTTTTCAAGAAGAAGAAGGCCGAAGGTTTTTGTCCCCTCGTCAGCCATCCTTTGCTTTCCGCTCCTGTAACACTGCTATTAGTAAAAGTTCTAGTGAAAATTTCATCGTACTTCTATAAAAATTCTAAGTTGTTATATAATTTATTCGTAATATATAGGGTTCTACATTATCAATAAAAGTTTGTAACAAATATTACCATTCTATCATAGTTCAATTTTCTTTTATATTCAGTGAAATAGAAATTCACCTTTGTAAAAATTAACTCTTATGAGCATAGTCTATTTCTGCAATATTCAACGGTGTTCTTATTTAATATTAAATCAAGAAATTTTATTCACCTTTTTGAAGTGCATCAACAAATTGATGACAAAATTCTTTATCTGCATGTGAATAACTAACCATAACGCGCATTCGATTAGTTATGTTGATATCACTTGGAAGTTCCTTCTTTGTTTCTGGCACGGTTATTGTTCGAACAGTTCGAGCTAAATTATAAAACTGACGAAAACAAAAAGAACTATCATTGATTTGTTCTTGGTACCTGGATTATTTTCATCAAGATTCCATAAAATTCCACTAGCTGCCTTTGATACTGATGACATATGTTTAGATACATATTGATCAACCCAAGCTTCTCCATGATCATTTGCTAAACTTTTAATAGTAATTAAAAGTTTGGAATTTGATTTTAATTCTTCAATATATTCATCATGAAATGAGATACTCCATAAAATATTAAATAAAGCTGTTAATGACAATTGATCAAGATCATTTTCACTTGCTAATGCACCACGAAATTTTAGTAATAATTCACAAAAACAATCGATTCGAGATTTAGCTTTCATATTTATAACAGATGATTCATTTAAAACATACTTTAATATTTTATCATGTACACAAAGTTTAGTTAAAATAACAATTGGTTCACTAACATGAAATCCGTTACATCTATTATCTACTGATTGTCCACCATCAACAACTAATTGCATAAGTTGATCAAGAATTTGACGAAGATTATATAAATCTTCTTGATTTTCTTTTGGTTCAGTTAATAATGATAAAATCATGCAATAAAATAAACGTAATTCTGTATATAATTCATTATTATTATCTTTATTTGGTTTAAGTACTCGTTGTTGAAAGTCTTTAACAATGTTTATACCATTAGCCTTATTTAATGCTTCAGCACCTTGGTCATGTCGTGCTATATTATATAATATATACATACATATGCGTTGAATATCAAGAGATAAATCTTGCATTGAAATCCATTTTAAAACATAATTTGAACATTTTGTTTCAATTATACTTGGAACTAATATTGTCTTATCAGTTAATGTCACAAAACATAGCAAAATAGAATGTACTGTTATAGAAATGCAAGTTACATTTGAATTTTGCTTATTTTTATCAACATACTCAATAAGTAAATGCATGCTGGATACCAGATTTTGTAAATCATCTTTTTTAAAAATTACATGTCTACTGGCTGAGTCAATATAATTAATAATTGTGCAAAAAATTAATGTCATGTGTGAAAAAAGTTCACTAGGATATTTGTCATTAAGAAAATCAACTATAAGAGGTAATGATATTAAATCAAATGAACGATAAAAAACAGTACGAGCATAAAAAAGATTATTTTCAAATATAGACGATAAATCAAGTGTTACTTGAGTAGAAATCAAAGAATTAAATATTTCTTGAAATGAATTATTTGAAATAACCTTTGGACATGTTTTTATTGAAAGTAATTCATCAATATAAGTTTTTAATGTTGCTTGTAATATATCGAATATTTCTGTAGGTTGAATGAGAATAGGAAGTTCCTGAATTTTACTTTGAATGGATTCAATACATTGAGAAGTATTGAAATCAATTTCATCAGTATCTGGTGATTTTTTTAAAAGAATATTATGAAGATTTGAAAGTAATGTTGGGAGATCATTTGGTAATTTAGATTCTTCTTTTGGCGACAAAGATAGTTCTGATAAGGAAACGACTAAATGAAAATAACGATTTTTTTTCAGATAAAATATTAATTGTTAGACTAATAAATAATTTGATCTTGATATTAACCCGTTACTTCCTGGCACTAAGCCACTAAAGTTGATATTAAGTCAACTACAATAGCTTATGCAGCTGCTGATTACGACACTGATATGGTTAAATTTGGGCAAATTCATTTCATTGTCGAGATGTACAACACGCCACAACTGACCGGGAAATCAGAATTTTGTCCCAAAAAACTTTTGGGTCGGGCTCAAATTCATCTCATTAATCCTCATAAAGAGCTTTACTTCTGTAAATACTTGGTACACTTCACAGTTCTTAACTGTATTCATTTTCATTAAAAATTACTTATCAGCAGAACGAGTATGGATGTGGATGTATGTATCGATGTGGTTATAGATGTGGCATGAAGAGAGTGTGAGTATGGATCTTATCTTCATTCGCATTTCACCTGTTAAGAGCTACGCCACATACAACAAGGCGAAGCGAAGCAAAATATTAGCTAAAGCAACAAAACAAAATGGACATGATATTGTTATTATTTGGACAAGCATTTTTCTTGTTCTTTATGTTTTTCTGTTAAACTTATTATTTTTTTTTAGTGTTTTGTTTTTTTGATAAAAGAAACCAGAAGACTGCAATAAAAACGTGAATTAACACTTAATAAAGTCGAAAAATTGGCAACATTTATAAAGCAACATGGATTTGTTAAAGGTTGATCATAGAAACATCACTTGGTAGTTCTATTGACAACTCGACATTTTACATTGACACTTATTGTATAGTAATAATAGCTATCTCAAAAGACCAAACCACTTCTAAAAGAATCAAAGTAAATTGCTCAGCACTGCGTCGACCTGTTGGGCACTACTGGTGTGTGTGTGAATGTGTGTTTCGAGAAAATCAACAACCACTCCCTCATTCTCATCCTACTTATTATGGATATTTTTTTAAATATAAGTCATGTAGGGGAAATATATAAATATGGTTAGACACTTGCAAAAGCAGATATTTTGGGATTGAAATCAATTCTTTCATTTTTGGACTGAGTTGGAATCGTTCGTCTTGATTTTCTTTTTGAAATATGGAATCATGGGTTCTGATTGCGATTCGAAATCACACATTCCTATTGTTACAGTCTCGTCCAGAAAAAAACGATAACAAAAGCTTGAAGTTTCTATCTTTTATCGGTGAGAAGCTTTTAAACACGACCATAGAGTGCTTGTTCTTGACTAGGTATTAGTTTTAATAAATAACATAACATGAACATCATGTTATTTTGTAAGTTTATATTGAAAACAAAATAACTTTAGACGAAGTATTGTTCATATGACTTACTATAAATGAGTCAAAAATATCGTAAGTTGTCATGGAAAACGATGCTTTCACATTTATAACTGAGAAATTAAAAAAAATCTCTGCAATTATATATTATGCCAACAACAGCCTATATCAACCTGACAAATATCAGAATAATCAGTCTACGTAACTAAATATAATAAAAAAAAACAGATTTTTTCACTTTTCTTGGAAAAGCATGATTTTTTTACTCAAATCTTAGTTACGAAGTGATGAAAAGAAGTTTAAATTTTTATGAATTTGTAGCTTATTGAAGGCTTTACACAATATTCGGAAACTGTCTCGATTGGATGCTTGATTACTGCAAATAGATAGTTTTATGAATGAGTAGAAAATGTTGCAACAGGAAATAACGAAAGTGCACTTTTACGACATTTGAATAATAACTTATACACTTTGATTACTGACTGGTTTTTTGGTGAAAAATCATCTTTCTACCTCCTAAATCCATTGAAAAACTTAGTCGCAAAAAAAAAAAACGAATTTCAGCACCTTTAGAGAAAAACATTTTTTTGTAAAATCTAGAACTACAATAAAGAAGCAGTTATCTATAATAATCATATCTCATTGACATTCGGTTTTTGATAAGATATCAATAGCATCTGTCACGGTCTGTGATGATCTTTCGAGCCTGTCTGCTACGGTCTGTGTGTGTGGAGGGTGGGGGCAGGGAGAGTTGCAAATTTCTGCCCTATATACTTCAACACTGCTTTTAGATCGCGTTTTACAAAAGAGTTGGGCCATAAATCATATATAGTAGGAAACTAGAACTTCTGCTCTATCGAATCATAAGCAAAATTTTCGTTCTAAAAAAGTTATGATTCGTTTTACGCTAAGCGCTTTTCGAAAAGACGTCCTTAGTAAAGTTTGCCGTCACTTTTTCTCACTAATTTGATATCAATGAAACTTTCAAAAAAAATGCTTTGTTATACATGGAATATACACCCAGTTAGTGCAAAAATATGTAAATGCTTCTGGATCAAAATGCAGATTTTGTAAAAATCTCATTTTTCAAAGGCTTTTTCGCGTTTTTTTAATCACAGAAACATTTTGAGAAAAAAATAAATGCATATTTGGAATCAGCATGAAAATTCGCACCGAGTGATGTAACATCAATCTTACTTTTGAGTGCAAGAAGCTAATATTTTTATAAAAAAAATTCGTTTTTGACAAAAAATAAGTCGTGTTTATGTGCTCGATGAAAATTGCGCACTGTCCAATTCTATTAGACTACCGAAGGTGTTCATTGAGATCTTATATTGCATGTGATAGAAACTTGTATATGAATTCTTGAAATGGAAAATCGAAATTCAATAACATTCTACACAAAGTCGAATTAAATCATTTGTCAGTTTTTAGTCAATGAACATGAAGCACTTTGATTTAGTTGTTTTTTTCTGTTATATTTAGATACACTTTCTTATATTTCTTATTACCTTTAAAGAAAAGATATAATATCTTATTTAGTTTTATGTTATTGGTTTCTATAGTGATGTCCATGGCAGTAGGTTTTTTTCTTGTCTTATACATCAGTTATATTCTTGTTGTGCTTCATACAAACACAAAGAAACAATTCTATGGCAACAAATTTCACCAACGAAAAATTATTTTTTTATTTAAAACTTGTTTAAATACTCGGATTTAATCTCAAACATATTTCTTTAGTTGGACAATATTCAAATCACTTACCATGAACTGTTCGTTGTCGATCTTTAGAAACTGCTTTCATTTATAATATAATAAAATGTGTTTGTACAAAATTACGTAGTAAATTGTAATTTTTTTTCTTTGTCGGTAAATAAAGTTACGTCTATGTGTGCATGTGTGTCTTGTTTTTCTTCGGTCTCTCAATGGGTAACACATTCATGAAGAATTCTTCACAGTAAAGAAACAAAAAAGAAAAAAAAGGATGGTCATGAAACCAAAATTTATAAAAGAAGTCAAAGATTATTTTTCTATGAAAATAAAAAAGAGAAAAAGTTTTTTTGGTATTATAATAGGGAATGTATTTTTTATGACAGAGAATAACTTCCAGTGAGGATTTTCTTATTTATCTCAAATAAATAATTTTGGACAAACGACAAGAATCGAAAAAGATGAGAATAAAGAATAACTGATATCTTAATTTATGTTTAGCTTTATTTGATGTCTAGGTAAATATGAGGAGTCCATAAGATTTACCAGTGTTCTCTATTGAGTTTAAATTTGTCTTAACAAGATCCGACCAAAACAATAGGTACGGATCTTTACATCTATGCTTTTTGAGTAGTATTTCTTATTGATATTGTTTACTTGTCTTCGAATTTAACTGGGTAGATAGATGATATGTAAAATATAAATATATGATGCTGTTATATTTTGCTAACTTATTTTCCAACTCAAAAAATAAAGGATGTTTAAACTTATGCATTTCCTGTGATGAAATAATAGCTGTCTTGTCTTGGAATTTAATACTTCAATAGTTTAAAATATTATTTCATTTACTAATAAAGATACTTTCGAAAATCATTTTTTGATGCCGATGCAGCAAAAGTCATTTGTGCATACATTACAGTATGAATAAATGAACATGAATACTCGTCTAGTAACAGAGAAGAAGGTACGTGCTGTTTTCTTAATGAAAATAGAAAATAATTTTGTAGTTTTGCACCTAATTAAAAGTGAATTCTACCTAAGTTTCATTATATTAACGTCGCTTCTAGAAAGTGGTATACCACATGAACAATATGTATGATATAGACGAGGAACATCACTCCACGTGTATTTACGAAATCAGAATAAAATACCTCCCTCAATGCTTTTAATCTATTTAAATCTTCGTTCATATTCTATTGATATATTGGCTTTTGTCTTATTGATAATATCGAATTTCAAATATATATAGAAACGAAAGCTATAATCGTGTAAACTATTCACAACGAATCTTTTATCATCATCGTCTTTCGACAACGATTTAATCATTCAAGAGAACAAAACATGCGTATTCGACATATAGCTCTTGGAACAAAAAGAGTAAAAACAAATTCTGGCTTCTAAGATAAAAAAGTGACCAACTACTTCTTCGATGATTTTTAACTTTGGTATGAATCTAACTGTGACTTATTCAATCAATGAAAGATTAATTATTCTTTGGAATATTTGCGAGAAAAAAATGTCATCTTTCAAAAATAGATTTTATAAAAAGTCATTGGTTAGTATCATAGATTTTACTATGATAAAGAAACTTTTTGTGAAGCTAATTCTTGTTAGTATAAAAATGAACAAATCAGTTTTCTTTATTGTCAACACTACAGTTTAAGAAGCGATGAAATGATACTTTCTATTCCTCTGATATCTTTTTGTTATATTGTTTATATAAGGTAGTCTTTGAAGAATTAACATATGAATTGATTTCATATTATATAAGATTAGTATTCGATTTATCGAAAATGAGTTTAATCAATGAATCCAACAGTAATCGATATAAATTCAAAGAGATTCAAACAAGAAATACAACACTTGAAGAATTATAAAGTTGGTCAGCTCCATTCAATCTAATTGATGAATATTCCATTTATCTCGAACATGTTGTAAACTCTATTTTATATAATGAACTATTCTACAATTGTTTGGTCTTGAGATTTGGAAGTTATTGCCATTATACGTTTGATAGATGGCCGTGACGTAGCCAGAAATTTTCCAAGCGGAGTGTCCAACACATTATGGGGGTACACACCAGTAGAAAAATAAATTTTTGTTTTTCAAAAAGATTTTTTGCCTGTACCCGCTCCAGATATTCTTTGACCACGGGGGTGCCCTGTGCCCCCCCCCCCCCCCCTCCCCCCCACTGGATACGCCCCTGATAGATGGTTAACATTTATTAAGGTATTTAATATGCCATTTCAAATGAAACTCGGTTTAAATTATTACTATCCTCTCAAAATTATAAATCAGGTATGCTATATTGATTTCAAATGCAACCGAGGTTTATCTCTATCGTGTCTTGATTGGCGAGAGATATATGACGAAAAAAAATCGATTGTTTTGATGTAGGGTATATCAGCTGACTTGTTTTCTGATGATCGTTTCAATTCAGAATGTCCTGATGAACAATTGATAATCTCTCATTTATGTAGTGTATGTATGCTTGAATTGAATCTTGCCACAGAAGTCGAGAAACTTGTTTGTAATTATGATGAAACTGAAAGAGTAACGTAGTTAAATTTATTCTAATCCGTTTTTGACTCGTCAAACAATTACTGAAATAGATCGTTATCGTGTATGGGAATGTCAACACCTATCGAGACTTATTTTTCCGGGATTTATTGGGACTTTTTAATAAGTCTATAAGAATTTTGGGATAAATCCCAGACTGTTTCACAGAACATACAAGATGTGGGTGTGAGTAAAGGTGTGAATATACTGGAATAGCATCATCACTAATAAGTCCTTGAAAGTAAATAAATCCTGTACAAGAAATAAGTCCTGAAAAAATAAGTCGCGGTAACCCCTCGATAGTGCTCATAAATTATTAATTTGTTTATATTTGACTTAGAAACGATTGATATAAAATTTATTTTGAAAACAAGTTTTATAATGAAAATATAACTTGAAAATGGTTTATTTTTTCAATTAAAATGAATCATTTGGGAGGAATAACACTTTTAAATTGAAGCATAACTTTTGATGAATTGGCTTTTGTTGGTAATTTAAGATAAATTTCTCGGTCTCTTTTAATATTATCTTGACTTAGTTTTATTCCATTAACTTGCTCACGAATGTTTTTTCCATTAATAGGTAAATGATAAAGAGTTCCAACTAAAGGAAATATCTCTTCCGGTTGGAGTACATCTTTTGAATTTGGTCGTTCTCCTTCATTTTTTATTGTTTCTTTAAACAATTCCATTTCTTTTTTATGATCATCCATCATTTTTTGTAGAACATCAATAACATCGGAATTTCGTGCCCCAGCACTATTTTTCATTTGTTCTTCACGAATAAACTGTTGCAAATATTCGACAATATCTTCATTTAATGGAAGAATAGCATTAGCATGAAGAAATTTTGCAAGTTTTTTATAGACATCTTTTATTTGTTCTTGTTCATTTCGTAAACTAGTAATATATTTATCAATATCATTTAAAGAGGCATTTTCATTTAGATGGGTCAGTTTCGTTTGATATTCATAAGTTATATGATGATGCTTTTCCCAAGGACAACCACAAGTTAAACAATTACCTATATATAATAAATTATTAATCAAATATTCTGTTTCAGTTTTGGATTACTTCAAGATAAAGAATGAGGAAAGTTAAATGTATTGAGATAATTGTTCACATTAACAAGTTGCTCTATTTGAATTAGTTTCAAAAGATTTTTTATTTGAAGAGGAAGACTGACTTGTAAAAACATTTAAATTATTATGGAAACAAATTATATATAGCATTGAGCATTTTATTTAGCTATATTAACTGTGAAAATAAATAAATATCAATCTATCTATTTCTATATATGTTTCAAATATTTAGACGATTATTTATATTTAATGGTTAAAAAACATTCTGTTGTATTCTCTAAGGTACCAAGTATTTATCGTCTACTATGTTAATATGAAATAAATTATGATTATCATTCATTACGTCATTCAAACTATTTGAACATGTCCTTCTCAATCGATATCATTTAAAAACGAAAATATCATTCGATTAGCCCAGAAAAGTGACGTTTTAATAGAGGAAAAAGGATATTCAGGTGCAAGCAATTTAATATACACTCATCTCCAAAAACAACTGATATCTGAACATTACAAAAGAAATGATATAACTCCTCAGATCGATGAATCTTGCTCATTGTATCACATGCCTTAATATTTCAATCGTAGATCTCCGTAATCGATACTGTAACTATTTATACCAACAAAATATGTTCCATCCTATGCTTCACTATTTCTAAACCTCTCATCATATTAACTTTAGTTCTTTTACTCTGTGCTTTCTATTTTATACGTCTTTTTATGTCTTCTCCTTTATAATATATTTCCTTTCTATAATTATTAACCTATGACTCCTATCTTATATTTTTCTCTCATAACATATTCTCTACTCAAGAGAATCAATCCAACAGTCGGATATCATCGGATTCTTATTGGATCTCCTCAGATCCTATAAAATTTGACAGAATTTTGAAGGAATATTCTGGAAACAGGGTAACGGAAAAACCTGCGGATCCCTAGTGTTGGAATCTGATCGAATTCTACTCTCAGAACTCGATCAGATTCTATGTGCTGGAATCTAGTGCTATTAGTGACTGCTAACTAGATGAAGACTAATTAGAGAACTACTGATTAGTTGGATTTAAGAAAAAAATCATTGACGAAAACAGCAATATCTCTTGTTTATCAAATTGGGAAACTAACTTTTTATCGGAAAAAAGATAAAACACCAAAAATGACATTTCACAATCAGCTAGTTTCATTTTCAAGCTCATTATCAATTTATGATTAAGTCACTGTCGATGAGATCGTTTAAATTTATTTTGTTCTCACTGTTTTTGTCGTTGTTGTTGTTCTTGCTTCGTTTTTGGATATCATATTTTATTAACTTTTTTCAACTCAAGCGTTTGTTTTCCTTTTGCATAGAAGATGATCCATCATATTCAAACATACTATGAGCAGGAAGCAAGACATACTCAATCAATAATGGTCATGATTCTCAGGTGTATGTTACACTCATTTTGTTCTACAAACATTGGCGAATGTCATATAGGCGCTCATCAATACTGATGAAGAGCGGATACCTTATTTTGTCAAAAGTAGTGTATGAAATTTGTTTTCAACCGTTTCGCTAGATATATGTTTACCGTAGACGGATTATTATAATTGATTTTCCTATAAGAACAAATGTATTTTACCTGTCTTATAATTGATTACTTCACAGTGAGATATTCTTATATCCTTAACAACTTCTTGTACAACACCTTTCAAATAACATTTATCATGACACCTGGATGTATATTCGACTTTTTGTTCATTGTTAACATTAATCAGTCGACAACAACTTTTTCCACGACATACTGTTCGTGGATGTGACAATTTCACAATGATGGAATTATTTTGTGGTATGCCTTTTGAGGCTAATCGTGGATTTTCAAGAACATTCTCTTTGTGTTGTTTGGCAAGTTGAATATTTTGTTCAATAAGTTTGGCTGTTTCAGCTATAGGACGTGTAAGTTTTCTAATTAATTGTTCAGCTTCGTTAAGTGAAAGTGTATCAAGAATACCATGCAGTCGACGTGTAGTGATGTGACCCATAAGACGAGAATATTCTTTAATAGTATAATCCCAACTTTTTTGATAGCTTAGCGTTTGTTCATTGTTTAATTGAATCCCATTTTGACGTAAAGCTAAAAACCGAAATGCTTCATTGTCTAATAAGAAAGTATTACCTCTTGTGAAAGGTACATCAACTTGATAATCTTTTTTATATTGACGTAAGAGTACTGTAAGAAGTTGACTTGTATTTCCTGGTGCAAAAAATGTTGAACGAGCATTTGTAAAAATAAAAATAATATTTTCATTTGCACTTAAATGTATATGTCGAAGAAGTTCTTGAATACAAAATTTAAAAAGTATGTTTAATCTTTCTTCATTTGGTTTTAATAAAATACAAATTGCATTTAGATGTTCATATTGAGATATATATGTTAAAATTTCATGAAAATTTTTAGTATCTTGCTCAAGACCTCGCGTATCTGCAACACCTGGTGTATCAATTATTCGTAAATTTCTATTACCTATTGGAAAAATAAAACTTCGACATTGTTGTGTACCTGATTCACCTTGTGTACTAAACTTTTCATGTTCATTTTCTTGTCCAATAATTATCATTTTCTGTTCAAAACTGTCTGAATCAGTAAAAGAGAATGAAGATGGAATTATAGCTTGCAATCTATCATTAACTGCTTCATCTAATGTATCATTACAGAGGTAGTTAGCTAAACCGTTTATAAATGTTGATTTTCCAACACCTGTTTGTCCCATTAATAAGATATTTATTTCGTCTTCTGGACGACAATGTTGATTTGATTCTATCACAGATGGTGCATCTCTTTGTGCCATGATGCAAAGTTCCTATTAAATATGAAAAATATAATAGTAGATCTTTTTATATTGAAAATAATTTATTTTGATAAAAGAAAAAATCTTCTACATAAAATTATTATGCAACATTACGTATAAAGGTCTTTTTGAAAACAATCCATTTTTGAAATATATTTCACAAAAAATAAAAGAGAAAAAAACAAAGTTTTATCTATGCTTGAGAATTATTTTGCTTATTGACACACACTCACTGTTGTTTTTGTAAAGTACGTTAGAATATAAACATTTTCTTGTTTCCCGTAGTCTACTTATATAGAAATATTGTAAATGAACAATAACAAAGGAAAGAATATTTGTCTTATGCATAGAAATACATCGAATTCTAGCAAAGTTTCTATTTTTTATTAGGTAAGCGAACAATTATGAATATTGATAAATTATTTGCTTTCACAAAAAAAATTAATTAATACATTTATTGCTAGACATTTAATTTCTTTACCTGTTCTCAATTTATTGTTTTGCTTCAGAAGTGTATGAAGAAATTGTCAAAATACGATCTGCTTTGTGTGAGAAAAAACCGAATGCACATAAGTATAAGTCACCAAACAAAAAGCAAAGAATGCGAGTTTTTTTTTGTCAACAATCATCTTCATAGAAAGGAAGAAAAAAAAGTTTTTTTCCAACTTACATAAATTTGTGACAATCTATGTTTTATGGTCGATTAAAAATGATTAAAAACTATTTTTCATTAAGTCAATATTTTGAATTGACAAACGTTACAAATTCATTCGAAACAAAGCCTTCGTACCAAACTTTAAAATGAAGTCTTCCTATGAACATACAAACAGAGCTTTTGTTTACTCACATTTTATCAAATATGTGAGTCAGCCCAGTGAGTGAAAGAATTGACAAAAAATGATGAAGTGACATGAAAAAATACCATTTTTCGACAATACAATAGTCATTGTTCTTTAAAATTCATTGATGGAAATCAGAATTTTAATTCATGAAAATCTCGTGATGAAAATTAGAATTAACTTTTATTTCACCTGATTTAACAACCTATCTGAATGAGTAGTCGTATCCCGACTTCGATATAAGTCTAGGTTGGTTGCTCTTCAAGGAACTCTACGGCGAACTTTTGAAAACTTCATTTCATTCTACCGTCCCATTACGTGGCAAAGTACGTATAGTATTTAAAATACTTAACAAACCTAAGAAAAAGCAGAGCATGGCAGTCTCTGTCCTTACACATTCCGTTTCTTGTGAAAGTGGCATGTATACGGACAAATTTGTAGAGAAAAAATATAATTTGTCTCGGGAAAAATGATAAAAATGATCTCGTTTTTTCCGAGTACAAGATAAGAGACAAATATTTCGGAAAAAACTCATTAATATTCAAAGGCGAAAATTAGAGAAAAAGATCTCGACTTTTTTCTACATATATGCGTACATAGTTATATAGAGACTAGTGTATATGATAAATACAGAAAGTATGAACAGAATAGTATAAATGATTCATCTGATGAAATGTCGAGCGATTGATCAATGAATACAGCACAAACATCCATTTCAAATACATTTAAATATGAATGCTGATCTGAACATTAAAGCTTATGATTGGATTTATAAAGTTGATTCAAGCGATATATTACAACTAGATACATTTACATTTGTATAGTTCCAGCAACACAGCTCCAAATGAATATTCTTGCTTAGGTACATTATTTTTATTTCATGTGTTGATTATCAAATGATCATTTCCAACAGTGGTTGGACTCAGCACGAATTTAATACTATTATAACATGTTACCTCCAATATTCTGTTCGTGTAAATATAATCTGAAGCAATATTCGTGTATCCATTCAGTAAGTCTTGTGATGATCTGGGACGTTCGAACAACTCCACAGTTAATTGGAAAAAGAAATGGTAAAGAACGAAAAAAAAGTGAAATACTCGTTGTCGTAATTGATAAACAAGACAACTACGATTTATATTAGAGATGGTCGACCGAATGTTTGATCAATAAATATAATATGATTATTTGTATTGAGTATAATTATTCAAAGAAAATTAGTAGAAAAATCCTCCAACTATAAAAATTGAACCATCAATATCAAATAAAATTTCAAGTGTACGGTATTCAACATGAGATGTATAAATTTTCCTGCAAAGCTCAATACGACTATAATATGCATTGTGAGATACTTGATACATTTATTCGATGAAATACAGGTGATACAATATACTTTTGAAAAAAACGATTTAAATTAAAAGTATTATTTAGATTTGTAACTTCTTGTCTTAATAGTTTAGAAAATAGGTTAAATTCTCTGAATAATATCGAATAAGTATTATTAAAGTTCGAAATTTAAGAATATTTCATCAGACACTTAGTTGGAATAAGCGATAAGAGACATTTTACTGAAATAATCAATGCAATAAAACCGATGAGTTAAATATATGTCTGCTTTTGTTTATTTTTCAGTTCAGAATACACACATCAACAAACTTATAAACAATATTTTCTCATGAAAATAAGTATATTTATATAGATACAGAGGATAAGAACGAAAAACGAAAAGAAAAGAAAAGGCAAAGGTATATGAGAAGCTAATATGTCTGACCTTGTATGTTACCACGAATCAAAGCACTCTCCCCTGTTGTAAAAAAGACAGAAAAACGATGTTTCATCTATTGTTTGTTTCTATGAAATGTGGAGAAAGAAATTACAAAAGAAATGATTGTTAAGAAATAATATAGATAAAGACAAAGAACAAATATAATTACAGAACAAAAAAGAAAAAACTTTTTTGTACAACAGGCTGTTGTATATAAGAAATTCATATAAGTACGCGAATTGTTAAATATATGTACATCTGAGAAGACTAGTTTAGTAGATATAACAATGAAGTGAATTGGGTAATATAGTACGACGAAATAGAAGTTACATAGCTGTGTACAAAAAAGAAAAGTAAATGCTTTCCCAATAAATGTAAGTTGGATAGGTAAAGTGGATGTTTTAATATCCATCAAAAAAACGATCATCGACACTTGTTTCACCAAGTAGATCACTTCAGAGACCGTCACAGGGCACTTTTTTTGCCCTGTCCTGTTGTCCTGTCACATCTTGCCCTGTCCTGCCCTGACAATAGCACATATAATTTTCTTTTGCCCTGACCTGCCCTCAGGGCAAGATCGGGCAGGGCAGGGCGCCCTGAGGGCATATGAATTGAACCCGACTACGGGATGGGTTGATAATTTGATGAAAAATTTGGTGTGTTTTTATGCTTAGTACAGATATCTTTTTCAGATAACTTCAAAAGAATATTATCCAGACAAAAAAACGATTATAAATCCGTTTAAATTCGAGGAAAACGATACTATTTTTATCCGATTCTAATCTGATTATTAGACTATGTCTTAATTTTTTCTAATTTTCAAGATTATTTTCAAATCTTTCTAATCATTTAAAATTCATTTATAAATTTTAAGTATTTAGAATTGGCAAATGTTTTTAATTAATTAAAAAAAACTAAAAAATTCGNATTGAGCAACTTGTACGACTTTCATCTTTTTACTCGTTGACACTAAGCTGAATGTGAAAGAAAGAAGCTAAGAGTACATTTATATATGTCGTACTTGTCAGCTGTACAACATATAGACGAAAAGAACAAAGAAGAAAAGAAAGTGAATCACCTTATAACACATTTCGATTTTTATACTGATCCTTTAATTTAATTTACTGATTTTTAAATATATTAACAAATCGAAGTATCTTAATAACTGACCATGTAAATAATTTACTGATCATTCATTTATTCTACTGATCATTCAATTATTTTACTGATTTTACATTTATTTTACGTACTGATCACTTCATTTATTCTACTGATCATTTCATTTATTCTACTGATCACTTAAATGATAGCCATATCTTTTTCCTACAAAAAATATATAATTTTATGATAAAAAATTTAATTGTACTATTTGCTCTAAATGTAACAATATATTCTTCTTCAAGACTATCTGATTTAGTGTGTGCTTTTGATAAAATCTGTCTGAGAAATTAATTATTTTCTTAATCTTTCGATTGAAATTCATTTCGATAAAAACGTTTAGTAACTTGATCTTTAGTTGAATTTATTTGAAATAGGAATAACTGCTACTTTTTTTCTTTTTCTATTATGTTCTGTTTGATACGTTGTCTAGAGATTTCCTATTTCACAGCTGTTGTCTATTCTTTTTACGATTTGGGATCATTTTTAGAAATTATCAATATTGCCTCAGACTAAATCTTTTCATGTTTGTTGTGCCGTTCTGTAACATAAGAATAAAGAAATTAGAATAAATGATCGTGAATTTATTTTTCGAATGACAATCATAGAAAAAACTTTTACATTAATATATAATAAAACAAATACAATGAATAAGAAAGTATTCTTGGAGTTTGTCAATAATCTAGTGCGTGTTAAGCGAATTTCTTCATCCAGCTGTCAAGTTTATTTAGTTACACGTTCGAATGTTTTGCGATGCAACTTCGTTGAAGGTTTTCGCGATCTTTTCCCTCGTCGTCATCCATATAGCAATGCGAATGTCAATATCGACCAGCTGTAATGCCTTCAATTTTTACAATGATTTCATCTCAAAGGTTGATATTTAGTCAGCCAATAGTTTGATTACTACAACGAAAACCTTTAATTGTTAGTGTAATTAATAAAGACAGAGCAGATAAGAGTTCGACTAGCCACTGAAACCTCCAATGATTGAAATCCAGATCGAGATACCGGGCATGATGATATTACGGCATCAAAGATAGAGGCGTTTTGCTGACTAATTTATAACGACGATGATCAATTTTTATACCATGAAAATCCTAGATCACCTAAACCAGTTTAGCCGAAGGGAAGGTCAATGTTACTGATGACTCTCTGCGCCATGGAAAAAATGTGGCTTGAGGCTTTTAAACAGAATGATTCGTTGAAGAGACGTAGGACATAAAGCAGTTACGATAGTT